AGTATCCTTCATTATAACTTATGATGGCTCAATGAGATAAGATTTGAGTGTTTTCTTAAAGTTTTAGTGTGCAAAAGTACAGTAGCAAATTATGCACATCAAAGTCATATTTTCACACTCAAATCATCAATCAAACATATAGGCATGTAAGTGCACTAGGAAATACACAAAGTTGGCCGAAAATTCCAAGACAAAAATGTGCAAAGAATGTAATCACACATGATATTTTAGGAATGTAGAACATGCTAGAACTAATTAGCATGCATTATTGAATCCCTATAGCACATATAAGTTCACGGCCAATTCATCAAACATATGACATGCATGTCATATTTTTCTCATTTCAATGATTAAGCATAAAAACTTGAAATTTCTTTTCAAGGTTGTTCAAAGACACAAGCTTATGACAAAACCAGATGAATTAAAAAAAATAAAAAGCATTAATATATCATGCAGCCCAAAATTTCCAGCAATTCAAAAATTTAAAGAAAAAGACAAGAACCTAAATAAGAAAGCCTAAAATGCCAAGATGATTCACATGGAATATATGGTATGAATCAACACATGAGAGGAGATTTATGGATCATCAAAATATGGCAATTATGATGATTCATTTAATCACACTTAGAAGACATTTAAGGAAGACACGACATGACCTAATATATTTAGAGATAAAAATAATGTTACCCTTGAAGAACCAAGGCTCTAGATACCACTTGATGACATCCTTACTTGCATGAACATGAGATGATGAGCAAGGAAGAGGACGCCTACTCCAAAGGAACAAGTTCTTCAAAGGTGGCACAAGGTTTTAGGGTGGATGATGATAGAATGGGTGAATGGGAAGTAGGGTAGAAGGTGTTTGATGAAAGGCTTGAAAGGTGCACTCTAGGGTTGGCTCACTTCATTGATGATGAAGGTCACTTCTAGGGTTGTTTCTCTCAAGGTGGAGAAGGGAGGGAGGTGGCTGAATTAGCCAAGGGTGACTAAGGAAAGATATAAAGGCACAAAGGGCTCTCTTTATATTCAATATCCAAAGTATTTACAAGGTGTGGTGCCTAGGGTATTTATAGGAGTGGGAGGCATCTAGGGTTGCATTTGGAGAGTGCATGGCCGAAATTTACAGTGCCAAATGCACACCAAATGAAACCCAAATTAACCCTAAATGCAACTTGGTGGCCAAGGATGGAATCTTTGGGTTTAGTTAGGCTACATCTAGGTGCATGATAAGACCATGCAACCTTTGCCCTCCACTTGGGCCTAAGTCTTTCTAAGTCCAAAAATAGGTCCAAAAACCACCAAAAATACGTCTAGCATCCTAACTAAATACCTTAGCCCAAAAATAAAAACCTATGATCTAAATCACCCCATAATACAAGGGTAAAATGGGAAATACAAAATAAAATAAACCCTATGACTAAGATTTCCCAAAATACAAGGGTAAAATGGAAAATATAAGTAAAATAAATTCTAAGACTAAAATACCCCAAAATACAAGGGTAAAATTGGAATAAAACAATACAATCCTATACTACTCAAAATGGGCCTAGGAGATGGATCAATACTCCATATTTATGATGAGTATGGCTCTAGGCATGCTATCTCCTTCATCTTCCTCCATTTTCCTAGCTATGGACCATTTGATGGGTCCCACATGAAGTTCCAAGGATGGTCCTCCATCACAACAAGTATTCTTTTACAAACAAATCTCTCTAAGCTCAAACCCAATAACTTAGAGTTACTAAGGTTTATAAATTAGTTTTGTCTTCCTATCATGATGTGATAGAACAAATTAAGTACAAAGAGCTTTACAGAAATAATATGTTTAGTACTATTACTTTCAAAAAGGTTCTTGTATATATATGTCTCTTTTTCTTTTTGATTGTGAAGTTTCTTATATAGTAACCCAGATGAAGATGATTGTTGCAAAGCCTTGAGAGTTTCTCACAAGCTTTCTTTGTCTGTCTTCGTTACAGGTTCCTTAAGGTGAGAAGTGTTTATTAATGCATTAAATGTTTGCATTAAATATGTTTCACCAAATTGTCACTTCTTATCTGATCAAGGAGACTAAATATCATCTTTAGGATACCATACGAACTATTTGTAGCATGTGTTAGTGAGAAGCAGGTTCTACATCAACTTTTGTTAACAAATTTATGAGTTCCAAAGATCTTTCTTAGTTCAATCTATTATGGAATCACTCAAATATGCAATAAGTAGTTGTTAGTCATTATAAATGATAAACATTTAAAATTTTATAAAGACAAATTGTATGCTTCGTTTAATGACACATCATCTATCTAGTGAATTGTGTCTTATGTTTTGTTTTATGAGTATTTCACAAAAACATTTTCTCTTAAAGAAAAACATTTTATTTGTTATCATTAAAACTTGAGAACTTGAGAGATCCAAGATCGTATTTTGACTTAACATAAATCCTCCTAAGTGGTCATCAAAATCTTTTTGGCCTTCTTTTTGTTGGTCCATCATTTTCTAAGTGTAGGACATTTAGCATTCATATGTCTAGGTTTCTTACACTCATAGCATATTACTTCTTTGTTATCTTCCTAGGCAGGTTTTCTAAACTTATCCTTCTTTCTGTGGAAGCTTTTTAGTCTTCCTTTCTTCTTCAACATGTTCTTAAACTTCTTGGACATGAGAGATATCTCATCATTTGTAGAGTTTTCAAAACTTTCACCTGAGTTATTATGCTTAGACTCAACCTTCAAGGCTTTGCTTTTATCTCTCCTCTTGCAAGTTTCACTAGTCCATAGAGCAACAAAGTCATTTTATTTAAGGTGATCCTTGTTGTTCAGATGAACATCATGAACTCTTAGGACTCCTAAAAGTTCATCCAAAGTAAGAGTCTTAAGATCACAAGCCTTTAAAATGGTGGTGGTGGTCTTAGGTTCCTAGATCTTTGGAAGACTATTTAAGATCTTGAGATTGTTCGAAGCTTTGACAAAACATCTCGTAGTGTCTCTAAAGAGTAGTAACTCGTTTGAGCTTAATGTCTTCAATACTCTCATGAATTACCCTAATGGTTTCACACATTTCTTTGGCAATTTTGCTACTGGAGGATTTTTTGTATTCTATTCTAAACAAAGAGCAAGTCAAGATGTAGAGTTGTAGGATGTTGTAATCGTTATGCGTGTACTCACTCTCTACCTTGATAATTGCAACATCACCTCTTATGATGATCTTCCAAAGGTAATATTGAGTAAAATTGATGAACATTTTCATCCTGTCCTTCCAATATGGGTAGTTTTCTCTATTTAAGGCTAGAGACCTTGTAAGAGAAGTTCCTTCAGGCAAGTATTGTACTTCATTGTTTCCCCTTTTAGGATTTTTTTTCCTTTATCATGGTTAAATGCGTACCCCATCAAAGGTTGAGCTCCAATACCAAATTGTGGAGAAAAGAGAGACAATATAAAGGGGATTGAATAAAATCAATAAAAAATTCAACAACTTTTAAGACAATGAAGTAGTAGCAAGATCAAATAGCAGACGAAAAGTAAGGTAAGAAGAACACACAATGCTTTTATACTAGTTCATCTCAACCACCAAGATCTAATTCTTGATAACCCAATCAAGTTTCGCTATCTTTTACAAAGATACAAGTATTCTTTCATAATTCATTTCTGGCTCAATCTAAGTATTCTTTGACTTGCCTTTTCAAGCAACTACTCAAGTATTCTTTTAATACAAAATCTTTCCAAACTTTAACAACTAAGTATTCTTTTAACACAAAACCTTTTAACAAACAAATATTCTTTTACAATCAAGCATCTTCAGGCTCAAAACTATAACATAAAATTAAAACTGACTAAACTAACAATGTTGTATTTTTACAATGAATGTATCTCTATCTATTGAAAATATATATTCTTTCTAAATCTTCAAGCTTCTTTATATATATGTTTCATGAAGATAACTAATACAAGTCCTTTAGCATTTCTTACAAACTTATTTTGTCTCTCTTCATCGTCATTCAATATAGAGAAAAATGTTCATCACTAAATTGTCACTTTTTATTTAATTAAAAAAATTACTTATCATCTTTTAAGTAACAAAAGAGAGAAATCATACGTGTATCAATCCAAAGTAACTTTTTTTTAAAATTCTTCATGCTTCAAGAAATATGTTAATCATTTTTCTTATGCAAAACATGTCTTCAATTTCTTTAACGAATTGATTATAAAAAAAAATTTAATCTGTTAAAAAATCATATAAACAAAGATGATTTTGTTATAGACATCATAAATAATATACATACAACACATTTGTCTTAACTGATTATTGTATTTCTATTTGTCTTAAAATTGGATCTAAAAAACCTTTTTCTTAAAAAAATCTATATTTATTATCATTATAACTTAAAATTGAAAATTATAAGATCATCTTTTAACTTAATACCATTTATACAAGATCAACTTCCTTGAAATCCTTGTTTCTTCCCTCCTCTCTTTATGTGGACTTCTTTCTCACTCAACTCTTCTCTCCGGTATTCAGCCATGATCACGCCCTCCTGGGTATGGCCTCCCAGGATCCCTACGGCTGAAATTATGAGACCCGGACAGCTACGGTCTGTCTACAAATCTCATATTAGTCAACAATTTAAAAAAACTGAATATATATATCCTTGTAACTGAACTGCATTGCAGGATCAATAATCTCTTCACTTCCATATTGCCAATCAGAATTAGTCTATGTGGGCTCTTCACTTCGAATAGATCTGGTATATGAACAAACCATGTCTTCGTAGCAGCATGCATTAATTTGTGTGCTCAAAACCTCCAGATCTTGGTATCATTACCATCAGACTTTCCAGCATCAAAGATTATGAAAATTCCAAGAAGAGTTGAGCACAATATATATATTTTACAAAGCACAGGACTTTGATGTCATTGAACTACCCTGGATGCCAAATTTACAAAACTACATTCATACCTCTTATTCCATTCATAGCCATAATAAAAACAGGAGAGAATCATGATAGATTGGCCAAATAGGGGGACTTTATTCCTACAAAAAGACCATCTCTTTTTCCTATTCAATCATCGTCAAGAATCGAAGCTACACCAGAATTAAAGTAATTCACACATTATAGAAATGAAAACATTATACCTTTGATCCTTATAAGCTGTTTGCTCACCACTACCATAAGAGACAGAAATCTAAAAGGATGTCGGTGTCTATACAGCCTATGCATACAACAAGTTACATATCCTAAACAACAAACTGATACAAGTAACTTTACCCCTTAAATAAAGCTAGGCTCAGAAACGAGACAAACAAATTGATCGTTAAATAACAAAGACAGTCCACTAAATGGAAATGACATATCATAAACCTACCCTGATTACTAGCTAAATATTTGCTAGTATTCCACGTGTTATTTAGGAAGAAGATTCAACCATTTTGTTCACATCCTCCAAAAGCCCTTTCATCTCGCTCTCTAATTTTGTCTTCATATCGGGTAATTTACCATCCGATGCTTCTAGCATTGATGTCAGACGCTGAAGTTTCTGCTTAATGTAGTTCAGTTTGGATGCTTCACTACCTGGTGACAGTGAGGCCGATGGCTTGCCTGGAGTCTTTTCTTTCTTCTTCATTGAAGATACCTTAGACTTGGATTTTTCAGACGTGGAACCAGCAGAAAGATACTGAAGTCTGAAAGTGGCTTCGGATGAGCCAAAGGGGTTCATGATCTGTGAATGGCTTAAGGCCTTTTCAGCATCAGAGGCTTTCAGGAAGAACACACAAGCAGTGTAATCACTAGAGAACATAGCCGTTTCTGATTCATTGAGAGCTCCAAACTTACTATACAGTGTCATAAGATCAGATTTTGAAGGCAGAGAGGATCCTCGCCCAAATGAGACAAAAAGGGCAGCACCTGAAGCCTTTTTATCAGTCATCTTCTTGCCAGTCTTAGATGCAGCAGATTGCTTCTCTTTAGGCAAACCTGACATTGTCTCATTCTTTTTTTTTCTCTTCTCTGGCACTGAATCATTATTAGCTGATATATGATCAGCTTGTATTTGATCTTTCCTCAGTATCCCAAGATCAGATTCTGGCTTCTTTCTCTTCTTGCTAGGTTTATGCTTCTTGTATACTTTGTAGTAGGATCCTTGGCGATATAATGAGCTTCTGTAGATAAAAATAAAGTCCACAATTTTTTCAAGAGAATTGATATCTGTAGGAGTTTGTGGATTAATAGCTGCATAGCGGACTTCAGACAAAACTTCTCCAGATGGAACCTGGATTTTCATTGTATCTATAGTCTTGTTCTCATCATATTCTAGTGTTGGGTAATTTGAGCTGTCAGGTAGGTCCTGTTCTATGGCAAGTTGCTTCGAAATATTCTCCTGAAATGCCTCACCATTCAACTTCAAAGGTACAGGGGACTTAAGAAGTTGGTCAGAAGCTCTGGTCACTGGCTCTGTTACCTGCTCTTTGCCAGAAACTTTAGGGGATTCTGTTTCTATCTCTCCTTTCCTCTGCTCTCTGGTTGGAATAGTGAAAGGAGGGGACAAGTACTTGCTTTTCTTCCTTTCTCTTGCCAAAGAACCCTTCTCAGTTTTTCCTTTGACTTTCCCTTCTTGATCAGCGTCATTTTTGCTCCCACTACTGGTGTTTCCAATACCAAAAGCTTTTTTCTTCTTTTTCAGCTGTGCCAATGTTCCATTGTCACTGTTCTCTTTCCCCCAACTACCATTATCATTTTCAGCACTTGCCATGTTAGCATCAGTATTTGGGGACAACCCTTTTCTCTTCTGCACAGGTTTAGAAGCCATTGTATCCTCACTGCCTTTCCTCTTCTTTCTAACAGACACTTTTTCAGTTGCATCTCCATTCTTGTTTTTGGTATTGACATCTTTGTCCTCTCCCATAATTTCAGCAATACTTTTCTGCTTAATCCTATGATTCAATCTATTTCCTGAAATACCATGTGAAAGACTCAATTCACCAGATTTTGGGCTCACTGGCATGGTAGCGTAGTCCTCTTCAAATGGTCCATGGACGGGTACTTCCACTGCACCCTCACTTCTGCCTACATTCACTGTTTTATCACTTAAACTATCTTCAAGTCCAGGAATTGGCTGGGGCGCCTCATACATAGGTAATCTATAACCTCCTCTAGATAGATAAAAGGCTGAAAGTCGAGCTTTCAATATTTCCAGCTCCAGAATATTGGCAATGGAAATAATCTCGGTAATTTGTTTCACTCGAGAAAGTAATTCTGCTGGATCAATCAGAACATCTGAAAGCTTCTCTATACCATTTTCAGGTATAAGAATTCCCTCCTTGACTCCAGAATTGTCCGCCACCGGCCGAGTGAATTCAGACCTAGTTTTATTTGCAACACATGAAGAACTTATCTTCAAATCCAAGAGCCTTCCAACCTCATTTACAGCTTCTTGTACAGCATTGACAAAAGCACGGGAGCTACTCTGCTTCACCATATCCTCAAAGTTCTCCTCAAACGGTTTCAATTGAGAAGGATGGCACCAAGCAAAGGTTCCATCCCCAAAGTAAGCAACGAGTAGTCTATTCCTTTGTCTCAGCTTCAAAGCAAAATCTGAAGCATCAGATGGATCATAAATCCTGCCAGGCCACCAGGGATGACTCTTAATTTTCCCCCAAACAAAATCACCAACAGAAAAGCCCCCATATCCTTCATCACCCAAGTCATCCATTTCCAAATCCTTGTTTTCACTTGTATCACTAATTGGAACATCTAAAGTCCCAGTTTTCCCATTTTGATCATCCCCGCGCTCAGTTTTCTTCCAATCTCTACTTCCTCCTCCCATTTCAACCCCCAAAGAACCACCCTCAGAGTTCAACTTCCCAGCACCATCACTCTCACCACCATAAGAAAACATCAAGTTCCTACCACTACCACTCCCTCTCATTTTCAACAAAGAGGAGACCCCATTCATCTCAGAATCAGCCAAACCTTGACAACCATCCTCCATTTCTCTCCCCACAGAACCCGTCTCATCCGAAACCTTGGTCTCAAAGACCCTGCCCTTCACCACTTCAACACCCCCACCATCACGAAAACCTCGGTTCCCATGGCCAGAGAAGCCAACCCCGTTTTCTGAGGCCCCATTTTTCAAAGCACACAAAGCTTCCCTTAGCTCATTTTTGTCATTCTCTGGAGAAGGCGATGAACACCCAGATGGGTCCTTCGATCGAGCCTCCACCGTACCCATCAAACAAGAAAAATTCCTTTCTCGAGAAAATCAACCTAGGCTGCATGAAAAATCAATAAAATCAACACATCCTAGGGTTTTGTTAGGTTTCACGAATGGAAGTAAGTAAAGAAAATAATTTAAAAAATCAGAATTTGATGATTTAAAATATTAACCATTAATTAAAAAAAAATTGATACTGATATAATACAATTTTATATATGTGCAAAAAGAATCAAATATCAGTGAACATAATAATAAAAGAAGAAACGATGCAGCAATACCTGAGAAAACCAAGAAAACTAGGGTTCCAAAGAAGCTTACTTTGTGTGCTTTGAAGCAACCCTCAAATCAAAACCATTGACTTGAGAATCTGATCGGATTGACATGCAAGAATAATGAGATTTTAGGACAACACATAAATATTAATTTTTTAATAATATTTTTTTATAATTATTATTATATTATTAATTAATAAAAACTGAAGATGCAATCACAGTCAGAGTCACAGAGAGGCGGATAGAAAGCATATTCTGGCACGAGAATTTAAATATATCGCGACATAACAATTACTTTCTATTTTCTCTTCATGTTTTGTTATTACAGCTAAGCTGCTTAGGCGGTGGAAAGTGAAACTAACTCGGCGATATTTTACATTTACACGCTCTTTTAAGGGACAATATCCACTTGCTCGAGTAAGAGACTCTCTTCCTACTCGCTTCCCATTCATGCCATATTTGTCTGTTTTTCACTTTTTCTCCGAAATAATACTAGTTTAAATTTAATTAATATTAAATATTATTGGAATAAATCGAACATTGTAAAAATTGAGATTGGCTCGAATTTTGGGTCATCATTCACGCACGTCATGGATTAGAATGGTGTGCGTGGTGACGAATTGCGATGCCATTGTACGGACAGCCCAGAACCTAAAATGAAGGGAAAGTATTTTGCTTGCAAAGGAAAGGTTCTTAAAAAGAGGTTTGATTGACACGTGTTTCATACGTTTGACGTGCAGACAGCACAGATAACTTTTATGTTATCTTTGTTAGAGTATGTTTTGTCTTAAATTCATTTTAATTTTTTTAACTTTTTCAAAATTTTATTATAAATTTAATTTTTAAAATTAAGTAATGTAACCTCTTAGAGATTCAGGATTCTGAACAAGGACCTTAAAAATTTAGGTTGCAATTTAAATGATTAGATTATGGTGTAGATTGATGATGGATCAAAGGCTTGTAAAAAAGTGGAAAGAAATTGAATGTTGTTTGATGATCAATTCAGTGCATTGTTCGTAGATATTGTTGGGCGGAATTTTTTCCGTGAATGGAGACAAAAGAAAATTAGAATGCAATTGATAGACTCCACACTTTCAAGGATGGAAAATATGTCTTAAAGATTGCATACACAAAGGGTTGAATTACCTTTGATAAATCTCAAGAATTTTGGACTATCAAGAATCCAAGGAGAGAAAGCTCTCAACCAATTTTTTTAACATTAGCATTCTGACCTTCCATCTCAATTTTTGCGCATAATATATGTGCCTAATACAATCAGCTTATGCGCATGTTTATTGACCTTTTACATTCAACCAATATTACAAAAATAAGCTTAATAAATTAGTAAAGGAAACTAATAATTGGAAGCTTAATAACAAAGTGTAACTACCAAAGAAAATTAAACATTACCGCCTCACCATTAGTTAAGTAACGTCCAAGAAAATGAGTTTAATTTATTTCAAATTACTCTTTCATAAAGGTCAAGTATCCTCTTCTTCAATCATGAGACAATTGATCGATGTGAGTTTCAATTCTTTAAGACTTGGTTCTATTTTAATAGAAGCTACCAACACTTGTTGTAAAACTTCCTTAGCTCTCCTTGTCCTTGCTCTTGTCATGGGTCCTGGTGATAATCACTTGATTGACAAGTTAGGCCAAATGAGTCTCACTTGATTCTAGGTGAGATAAGCTTGAAAAGATAAATTGTGAGATCATTTTTCAAAGAAGAAAAGAACATGATTTCATGGATTTGAAAAAATGAAAAAAAAAGGGTGAATAATTGAGGCACAAAAAGGGCTTTGCATGGATTTGCTTTCTCTAAAGAAAATATTCATTTTTATGATTTTCTAAAAAAAAAAAAAAA